AGCCAACTCATGGTGTTGTATTTGAAGTTTATTCATCTTATTTTCAATCAATATATTTGAGGTTGACTCAATTTCTCTAGTGGATTCCAGTTTGTTGGTGGATTCCGACATTATTAGATTGAATGAGAATCCTACAAGTAATAATGTTGGAATCCACCAGAGAAATTGAGTCAACCTCAAATATATTGATTCTTAATATTATGATGCTTTTTTCTGCTATAAAGTTGTCTAATTTAAACTTTTTGTAAGTACAATTTGATTTGCTTTGTATGCATTCAAATGTCAATAGGGATATTATTAGGCGGCTGAATTTGGAAAATTATCCTAACAAATAAACTGATCCACAACCCAAACTTTCCTGGTATGTATTGTGCTTAATCCTACTTTCCTTTGTTATTTTTGTTTACATTATTTTCGTTTCCTGGTAGATATGTAATGAATAACATTCGTTGGATCTAAATTTGTATGAAAGACACCTTCAAGTGCTTGCTTATTAAATTGGAAGAAGAAGAAACCCTCAATCATACTCAATATTGATATTAAACAAACTCTAGTTTTGTGCTATCATGGTACAACAAGTTATAACTACTGTACAATATATATTGATCTTCTCACTAATTAGCATTTCTTGCAGTGGTAGTTATGTTCATTTCATAGGTACAAGTCTTGAAATCTAATCATATTGATACGGGAACGATATATATATATATATATTTGTGATGATTTTAAATTTAATACCTAATTCCAGTTAACCCAACTGCATGTAGAAATATGATGAAAACTGTGTAAATCTCATTATGCTTTAGCTTTAGTCTTCTGTGGCAACTCTTTACACCATGCTCCACCTCATGCTTAGGCCAGAATAACCAAGCAACAATTAGCTTATGTTTACGTCAGAATGACCAACAATTTTGTGGGCTAATAACTTGGGTTTTCCTTCAGCGAATGACGACTTTCAGCCCTCCAACTTGAAGTTCAGAATGTCATCTTTCCAACCACGTGTCATTGGGCCAAACTAAGGTCGAATGAAGATGTTAAGCCCAAAACAAGTTGCTAACTCAGTCTTCAAGTTTGCACAATTTTGCACCCTTGTTACAGTTATGCACTTATCATTTCTCTCAAGATATCAGGTACCAAAATCAGGTGCAACTAGAGTGAGGCAATGGCTCTAGGATGAAGTAGAACTCTAAGCTCTTGAGTTGGCAGCTGCAGACAATTATGTCATGAAAATACTTGTCAGGAGTGATGATACTTACAGAGGGTTTTATGCTCATGTAAATATAGAGTTTTTTTTTTTTTTTTTTTTACTAATTTGATTGGTGGATTATTTTGGTTCTTACTTTGAATGACATACTCAACCATTAATCGAGTCCAAAAGGCCTTGTAATCGAGGCTTAGAACCTACGGCCGAGAATTGTTCCTCTTTCGGCCACAATCATTCGAAAAAACAGTTTATCAAAAAGCGGATTCACCACCCATCACCCAATTGTACTATCATTTCTGGCCTCGGTATTAGCACGCTTCGATACAAGGCCTTTTGGAGGGGGTGAACAAGGCTTTGAAAACATTGAGTGTTGACTTACCTAAGGTGGTTGAGAAAATGAACTGGGTGATCCAATCCATGGACAAGTGAAAAATGAAGGCCAATGTCAATGTTGGATTTAGAGTTCTGTCCTTTGTTGCAACGACCAAAAAGGCCGGGGAGGTGGCAAGCCAAGAAACCCCCCTTCTCCTCCTCCTCCTCCTCCTCCTCCTCCTCTTGGCATCATCCCCTTAGTAGGTGCGCACCATCGGATGTGAGGACTATTTCGCAACTATCTACCATCCATATCAAATCAAGTAGATAGGTTTGGGCCTTGATCCTTCTACTACGTTCTCTTTTTGAAAGCCTAATCTCTTTTATCCCATGGGTAGAAAAAAAAAATTGGGTCTAAACATATATAAAATTACTATAAATAGGAGGAACTTGCAATTGTAAGTGATAAATGGACTGAAAATTATTAAAGTAGAAAGTCAATTAATGAATTTTATTTTTTATTTTTTACCCAGCTCCGTATCCCTAAGTGGTACCTGTTTCCCATGCCTTGATCCGTTCAAAAACCAACCGAGAAGATTCAGTCATTTTCCTTTATTGTTCCATTTGGTAGTTAAATCGATCTTCAGCCGTGGTGGCTTGCTCTACCAAGGTATCTAGGTTGGAAAGTGGGCGTCAACCACGAGAATGGTAGTCGTGGGAAAAGGATTGGAGTCCACTGTCTATTAGGTCTGCAATGTCATGAAAATACTACCCAATGATTAGTAGTATGAGACCAGGAGTTATGATACTTACAGAGGGTTTTCTTCTTCAAATCATTAGCCTTAGGAATTTTATGCCCCTTAGGAAGATCAGCCTCTCGGCCAAAAGTTGGTCGAAAATAGCCTCACCCTTTTTAAGCTCAAAGTGTAACTCTTCGGCTCACGAGTTGTGTGGATTTGATGTCGGCTTTGTCAACTCTTTACACATGAAAGGTTTGTCAATGGCTAACCTTGACGTCATCAACTTACACCTCCACTTCATCGTGTTAGGTCTCATACATCTCGGCATAGCTTACTGTAAGAGTGCATCATATTTGGCGACGAGTGGTGCTAGAGGCACCAACTTTGGGCACCAACTCTCTAATAGAGGTGGAGCCCGCCAATACACCAGGTCCCACGCTCTATTAGAGAGTTGGTGACCAAAGTAGGTGCCTTTAGCATTTTCCATTTGGCGACCTTATTGGTCAGGTCATGCATGTTGGAAAACTCAGTACCTTCGAACTTTTTTTGAAATTCAAGATCCAACCCCTCTTAAGCCATTTTCACAATTCTCTTTCGGCCAAATTGATTCAACTAGTACAATATCATCAATTGACATGGATAACGAGGCGGTGCGTAGGCGTATTCTTTAGTATCGTCCACTTGTGGAAGCATTTCCTTCACCTTCAAAACAACTTCATTCACATTTGGAAGTGTTTCTTCATGCACCTGATGCACCTTTGGAATCATTTCATGGATGCTTGAAATGATTCAATCAACCTTCTTAAGTATTTCAAAAACCATTTTTCCTCTTCTTTTTCTTTTCTTTTTTCTCTTTGATTTGTTTTCACTCTCTCTCTCTCTCTAGATTCTACTTCTTAACATGTCAAATTTGAAATAAAAAGTGTACTAACTATATACAAAATTGATCATAAAAAGTGTCATAAATAATGTGCTAAATTATCCACAATCATCTTAGCTTCTCGAACTTTAAAATTGATGAAGCACATGCCAAATGTCTCTCATCATAGAACATTCCATGGAATAACACTTTTTCTAGTAAACATTTGTATGTATAATAATTTGTAATTTGGAAATAAGATTTTTAGAAAGAGGAAAGCTCAGAGTACTAAACTTAATAAGTTTGATATAATATTTCTAGAAACAATTAAATCGAGTAGTCTGAGTTTAAAAGAGACTAAATAGAGCCCAAAATTATTTAACGCAAAATGCATGTCAGAAAGAGATTGAAGGAGAGACAAAGGCGTAGAGTGATAGAAATAGCCTCACTGAGAAAAGATTTCTTTTATTCTGATGACATTTCAAAGTTTGTATTCCTAAAACCTTGTGTATTCTTTTGTTAAGATCATCGATTGGTGCTGCATTCTTTCCTCTGCAATTTACATATAGTTTGATACCCAATGCAGAGCTTCCTTTGATGAATGAACATTATTACTAAATGCAAAGCACACCAAATGATTCCATTGAAAATCACCAGTTCAATCTTCCATTCCCAGTGTGACATGACAAAAATGAAAAATTAGCAAAGTATAGACAATCATCTTAAAAACAACATTCCCTGAAACCTTAAGGTTCAGTACTGGATGATTTTCAAAATTTTAACATTATTTTGCATCTTGTACACCAAATAATTTGAATATTATAGCAACTTTTAATAAACATATCAAAATTCCCCAATCTCCCTGAATTTTATTCTATCGTAGCATACACAAGCTCTTGGAATTTCCCAATATCCCATCAAACCTAGACAAACTGTTTTATTTCCCTCACACAAACTCATAAACGAATGAGAAAATTACTACACATTCCATTAAACTTAAATGAATTTTACTGTGAATTTTTTTCTTCATGTTCTTGTGTTTTCACTCAGTAACCAAACAAAGCATTAATGGGTTTTTGTTTGCTTATTAATTTTTGTTTTTGTGTTTTAATGTTCTTTGAATTGAGACTTCAAAACAAATTCCTTTTCTTTTCCTAGGAATACTTAGAAAGACTTGTAACTTATTGGTTACCTCACTTCTAACTACTTCATATATCAAACAGAATTTATAATCTTATAAACCATTATTTCTCTAAACTATTGTCAGTAATAGTATTGAACTACTAGATTTTGAAACAATAAATGAAAGCCCTTTACATTTTAGGTGTTTGAACCCAGCCAAAGGGCTGGAGGCCCTATTGTTTATCCTTATGATCAGAGAAAAATAAGATATGGAAAAGGAAGTTGAATGTTTCTAGTTGATCAAATGCCTACATTCTTTTGAGTATGATATTTGGAGATGTTTATATTGTGTGCATCTTATATCACGTCTAGCTGCTGATATCTTTTATTAGCTGTACTGATCACTTGCAATTTTTACTTGCCCCCATTGCAAATTGAATTTATCCCTTGGATTTTCTGCTCAACATAATGTGCCTCTTCAAATGTCCTTAGCTCAACTATAGCAAATATGATTGGAAATTCGGGTTTTAAGTTATAGGGACTGTGGAATAGAATTCTAAGATATAACCCCAATTAGTAAAAGGCTTCTGGTTCTGTGTTTCTATTTAAGAAACTTGCAAGTGCAATGCATGCTTGTTTATAGTTTTGTTGCAAGGGTTGAATGAATCATTGTGCTATTTCTTTAGCTAGAAGCTAGATGAATATTTGATGCACTTCTCTTTTTTGTTTTCTAATCCCTTACAACATTGCAATTTGGCTCATTATGGAGGCGGTAAAGGTAGCTAATAAAGGGTTTGCAACTCGTGACAGTGTTGCCATTAGATCTGATCGGTGGAGTTACAGTTACAATCAACTAATATCTTCTGCATCAAGTATATCTAGCTTGTTATCTAGTCGTCACTTGAACACAGTGAGTTTGAGCTTATTTTCCAACATTTATAGTCTTGCTTTCCCACAATATTTTCGCTTATTTTTTAGCATCTTTGGCTTACAGAGTTTTTTGTTGTTGAATATAAGCAATTTTATTAGCAAAGAAACAAAGGATGTACAAATGCAGGAACAAAAATCATTAACACTTATGAAGCTATAGGCTTTGGCTTACAGACTTTCGAAGCAAGTAAGCATGAATCTCATTCACTAGCAATTGATGGTGGAAGAGGACAAGGGCATCTTGGAGGGGCTAGAATAGGAATCATGGCTAAGCCCTCAGCTAAATTTGTTGCTGGCATACTCAGGACCTGGCTTAGTGGAGGTGTTGCGGTTCCACTTGCTCTCAGCTATCCTGAAGCTGAGCTCTTGCATGTGATGAATGATTCAGTGAGTCCCCAATACCCTCTTCGTTTTAGTTTTCTTTCTTAGTGACTTGTGTTTTTCTCAATACTATTTATTGAGTTACTAGTTTTAATATATGCAGTAACTAGTTGTAATACATGTTGCCATACCTTATCTTCATTCTATATTTTTCTATTTTATTTTTGGCATAAATTCTGTAGGCCGTAAATGATTATCTGGTTTACAGGATGTCTCCATGATTCTGAGTACTAAAGATAATCAGGAACTTATGGAAAATGTTGCTGCTAAATGTGCTTCTCAAGTTTCTCTTATTCCACCCGTTCCTAGTAGTTCTTCAGAAAAAAGTGCAGATGGTAATTTACAAGCTGTAGAAATAGACGCAGATAGAATTTTTCACCGGAATAAAAAGCAATCAAGTAAGAGAGATTGTGTGCCTTTAAGAATGTGCAAATTTATATCCTGGATTGGGAATGCTGTAGGAGTTAATAATAAATTTTGATTATTGTGTTGTCATTTTTTGTTATGAAGGTGAGGATCCTGCATTAATTATATACACTAGTGTCACAATAGGAAAACCTAAAGAAGTTGTGCACATGCACAAAAGCATCAGTGCACAGGTATGCTCCCCATCTATCCTTGCAAGCAATTCGTTTAACCACTAAAATAGTTTCAGGTGAGGTGTAGGATACACATGTCACCATAAGGGTCTTCATTATAATGGACAACAGATGATGTGATATAATTTTTATATACTGGATCACTGTTTTAGAAACATTTTCTCTTGATTAGTAGGCATCTGTAGTTTAGGGGTTTGTTTGTCAAGTTTGGCTATTTCTTCTAAGAAGTCTTCTTTGATGTTAGCTTTGCAATGCATCTCTTTCATGTGGGCTACATTTCTACGGACTTGTGTTGCGAAGAAAAAAAAACATCTCTTGGTGTTCATTTATTGTTTCACTTTTATGCATTATAACATTATAAGTCATGTAATGGAGGTATTCTTGTAGGTCATGCACTATTTTCCTTGACTCTAGCATCTCTATTCCAAGTTAACTATGTTGACTTTTGCCCTGATGTTACCTCAAAGTTCAGGTCCAAACCTTAGCAGAAGCTTGGGAGTATACATATGCTTATCAGTTCTTGAATTGTCTATCACTACATCATATCCTTCTACTTTTATGTACTTGCTTGCAAATTGTACTGTTTCCATATGCAGTCTCAGCTTACGTTTTGTTGATGTCTTCTGTGTCTTCCTTTTCTGTTAGAAACTTGATTCGAAATTCTAAGTCACACACTGAAATTTATCCTTGTTGGTTTATGGCTTTGATGATTGATTGAAACATGTTATCCTTAACCCATAACATACATGTTCATGGGCTTTTCAATGTTGTACTTGCCCCTCTCTATGCAGGTTCCACGTAATATACTCTTTTTTTTCTATTTTCCTTGGTTGCCTTGACAACTAAAGGCTTTCACCATTGTTTTTCCCTGGAACGGCTTTGTTTGGCTGCATGAGTCTTGCTCAGCTACTTATTGTAATTTAATTTCTTCTGTTTATGTTGTTGAGGTTGAATTTATGCCAAAATTTAGCGTGAGGGGTATTTGGCAAAGATGGCGTGAATCATATCCAATAAATGGAACTAAGGCAGCTGATGGCATAACTGTGTTTACAGGAGTAAGTCTACTCTGTATGTGAAGGATGTTTTTGCTAATATGAAAATCTATTGCAAGTCATAACATATTATAATTGCACTAGAATACAAATTCTTGGGAAAGCGTCATATTCTAAAAAGCAGGTATCTCCTGCTTGTTAGTTGATTTTTTAGGACCTGGCTTAGTGGAGGTGTTGCAGTTCCACTTGCTCTCAGCTCAGTTATCCTGAAGTTGAGCTCTTGCATGCAATAAATGATTCAGTGAGTCTCCAAAATCCCCTTCGTTTTACCTTTCTTTCTTAGTGACTTGTGTTTTTCTTAACAATATTTATTGAGTTATTTTCTTATTAAATTTTATTCTCTTTCTTTTTGTTTTTGTACATAGTTTTTTTTTTTTGGGATAAAAATGTAGTGTATTTTTTTATTGAGCTATAAAAATAAAATAAAAAATTTACCGTATTCTCTTTGAACTTTTGCTTTTATTTTTGTATGTAGTATATTTTTCTAAAATTTTCGCTTTAAAATATACATATATGATATATGATGTGCATGCCTATACATGTTTGTTTGTATATGTTGTGTTGAAATTTTGGTCGACGATTTATTGGATCTTATATAAAAAAAATGTTCTATGACTGAAGTCTATACTGTGACTTGTTTCAATGCTCTTGAAGTTCATGTTTTGAATTCTTGAATTTCATGTTTTGATTTTTTGAAGTTCATGTTTTGACTTGTTTCAATGCGCTTGAAGTTTATGTTTTGAATTCTTAAAGTTCATGTTTTGATCTTTTGAAGTTGATGTTTTGACTTGTTTCAATGCTCTTGAAGTTTATGTTTTGAATTCTTGAAGTTCATGTTTTTATTTCTTGAAGTTCATGTTTTGACTTGTTTCAATGCGCTTGAAGTTTATGTTTTGAATTCTTAAAGTTCATGTTTTGATTTTTTTGAAGTTGATGTTTTGACTTGTTTCAATGCTCTTGAAGTTTATATTTTGAATTCTTAAAGTTCATGTTTTGATTACTTGAAGTTCATGTTTTAAATTCTTAAAGTTCATGTTTTGATTTTTTGAAGTTTATGTTTTGACTTGTTGCAATGCTCTTGAAGTTTATGTTTTGAATTCTTGAAGTTTATATTTTGATTTTTTGAAGTTCATGTTATATAAAAGCCCAATACAAAAGTCAAAAAATAAAAATAAATCCGAATTGTTCAAGTATTCTATAAATACCCCTCCCTCATTCATTTTCCTCAAACCTAAACACTTCAAAAACCTTCCTCCCTCTCTTTGGCTCAGTTTGGGATTGCTATCACTTAAAAAAAAAAAATTCTACTATGCTTTAAAAATAATTAGCTGTAAAATAAAGCAGCTCTATGTTTGGTAAACAATATTTTTAAAGTGCTGTTAGTACAAAAAGCAGTGTCAAAATCATTTGGTAAATTTTAATATAAAATTGTTGTAATTGTGAATAATGACTAAAATAGATATGATATTAAAAGTGTTATGTATTAATCATGTGGTGTTAGTGATAGTGATGGAGTGGAGGTGGTGGTGGTGATGAAGGTGGAGTTGGTGGCCGTGGTAGTGGTAGTGGTGGTGGGGATGGCGGTTGTGGAGGTGGTGGTGGTGGATGTGGAGGTTTTGGAGGAGGTGGTGGTGGTTGTGGTGGTAGTAGTGGTGGTGGTGGTGGTGGTGGTGGTGGTGGAGGTGGTGGTGGAGGTGGTGACGGTGGCGGTGGTTGTGGAGGTAGTGAATGTGGTGGTGCAAGGGGTGGAGTTGGATGTGGAAGTGGAGGTAGTATCATTTTTTTAAATGAATGATGGTATTTTGGGAAACACAATCCTAGACATGTATTTATAAAAAAACCCAAGCACTATTTAAACATAGAAACACACCTAAAATCAATCCCAAAGTCAACTTTTTAGGTGTGTTTATAAATGGGTTTTGAGTGTGTGTAATGATGGGTTTTGGGTGTGTTTATAAAGTATTTTGGGTGTTGGGCTTTTTTATAATTTCAACCTCCATTTTGGGTGTTTTAGTGAAACTCTCTTAAAAAAATTCATTAAAAAGGTTTATCTCTACTTCTTTTGAAAGCAGCTTTGAAAAGCAACCTATACCCTGCTTTTAAAAGCTGCTGTCAAAAGACCATTGCTTTTAAAATAATTGGGATATTTTATTTTTACCAAACACCTTAAACTGCTTAACTTTAAAGTGAAGCAAGTTTTTAGCCAAAAAAAGCAATCCCAAATGGGGCTTTCGTCTCATGCCCCTCCACCATAACCATCCACCTTCCCGGAAGTTACCATTCATCTCGGGGATATTATTCACAGTCATTATTCATCCAAAAATACTATTCATATGAAATCACCATTCATTCCAAAATCGATCCTCGTGGTCAAGGATTAAAATATTGGCCGTGCAGATAATATCGGGCCTCCAATTTACGGATATTTCGGGGGATATATCATTATCATTTTAGGTATCGGGAAAAAATGACATATATAGGCATTGAAAAACATAATTTTGGTGTAAAACTTTCATAGATGTTGTGTACATTATCAATGAATGTATTAAACAAATAAAATTCAAAATTTAATAATAATAAGATATACATATGATGAAATATAAGTGATATGTAATGTGCGTTAATTAAAGTTTGAAAATAAAATGTTGATTAGAATGAATAAACCGTGCATAAATCCATAGTTTGTTTAAACATTGTATTACAATTTGGATAAGTGTCCATCTACATAAATGAAGAGCTTCTATGAGGTTCAAACAATGAGGAACAACCATCTAGATTCATATACTAGTCATACCAAGTCATGTGACCCGAGCAGTTTGTAAGCCATGTTTGAACATGGTGCACATAGGTCTCTCTTGAGCACCTTACTGTCCTATCATATATGGGATATGTAGGATTAACCCAACTAGTAGGTCCATAATTTGTTTCACCATCTTGATCTCCATAACTAGTTCCATTATAATCAAACATGACATAACCATAGCCATCATAAGACTCATTTGAGTTAGTACTAGGTCTAGTTTTTAAGCTCATATATCCAAAACTGATCGCCATGTCCTCTTCAGATGGATTGGAGGTATGTGGGCAGTGGACTGTCATAGATTCTTTATATTAATAAATTATAAGGTTATGGTCAAGGATTAGTTATTTTTGGGCTTCAATTTGCTTCAATTGACTTCAAAACTTTTGAATTTTTTTTCGGTTCTGCTATGGGTATCTGGAAATATCAGGGATATAGGCAAAATATCGGGGATATATCGTCGATACATGGGAAGATATGGCCTTACCCCTTAGTATCGATGTCAATAGTTGAAAATACCGAAATATCAGTGTATCGACCGATATTTCAATCCTTGCTTGTGGTTACTATTCATAGTTTCGTGCAACTTTCATCCATTAGTACTATTCACCTGTGGTACTATTCGTCGCAGTATTTTATCAAGATCATATCTGTCATCCAATAGTACTATTCACCTGTGGTACTTTAGTAATTTTTATTTTATTTTTATAATTGTTATTAGAATTATTTGAGGCCAATTTGAACGTCTATATATTATTTTGTCATGAACTATTTAGGATGGATTTGAATTTCTCTTTTTGAGGTCGATTTTGATTTTTGTTTAGTACAAATTAGTAAACAAATTACTTTTATTTTCCTTCATGTAAAACAAAAGCGCATATCTTGACATATATTCACTTTTCCATATATAATTTAAGAAGAGTAAGGCAATACCATTTAAAACACCAACCATGCAATACTATTGTCGCCACCTCATCACAAACTGACTAATTCTATATTTATATTCCCTTCTTTTTCGTTTTTGGTACTTGTAATTAGGTTGACATGTTGATTGAGTACAAATTTCATTATATAAATAAATAAATAAATAAATAAATAAATATATATATATATATATAAAGAGAGGGAGGCATCATAATGAATATCAAAGAATTGAGTAAGTGCAGTATTCACACTTGCAAAAACCCAACCCTTCTCTGCAACCTTGCTTCTTCCCATTGTTCAATCCTCTCGACCTCTCATAAATTACTTCGCTAAATATTAAGTGATGGAGTGACTATGCATACTCTTAACATTCAAACGAAGTGAAAGAGACAAAAGCCTTTCCCACTCGGATGATGCTATAAGCCTCTTTTCTTATCTAACAAAAGCCTTTCACACTCAGAAATTCTTCATGGGCTTATCAGGGCGAGGACAATGTCAGTTTGCATGGCTGTTCATTGGATAATTGTATGTCTTCTATAGTTCTTCCAGATATGGCTTATTTTCATCTTTTTTTTTTTCTTGATTGTGGGAGTTGACACATGACTTTTCCTACTCACATACCAGACATATTTTTACGAACTTGATATCCAATAAAACTTTTTACTCGATGACCATTCAATCTATGAAAGCAATAATTTCTTATCTACTGTGGCTCTAATAGAAAATGTGAAAAATAGGGATTCTACTGAAATTCATAACTTTTTTTTTTTAGTGAAGAAGGGGTTTCATTCTCCAAATTGATTAATTCTAATGACATCTCACTAATAAATTTTGGTGCCTGATCAAATTCTTTGTTGTTCTATTGTTTTTACACTTACTGGAGCAGAACCTTCTTGCTTGCTAAAGACCCTTAAGGTAAACGAGTTTTTATCAAATCTAGCCAAAATTTAATCCCTAAGTTCATAAATGCCAGTTTCTGCAAAAACTTTCAAATATAACCAAAACCTCAGTTAACACTATCAAAGGGTCTTGCCCACAAGATAGTTCCCTAAATTTAGCTTTTAGGGTTATGTATCTATATTTCTCGAGTATATTGTATATGTCATATTCTTGCTTGCTTCAAAGGGTTTGCCATATTGTGCTTTCTAGTATTACAATAAATTCAACAACAAATATTAAAGCAAAACATTAAACAATACCATTTGTAAGTAGTAAACAAAAATCCAAATCGGCCTCAAAAAGAGCAATCCAAATCCATCCTAAATAGTTCATGACAAATTAATATAGACGTTCAAATCCGCCTCAAATATTTCTAATAACAATTTTACAAAAAACAAGTAGTAGAGTTTCCCGAATCTGCCCTACATGATACTTAAGGGTGAAAAAGCCTAACCCCACTCGGGTCAAAGAGAACGCTGCAAAGGGTCTGTGCCATTATGCATCCTTGCAAATGGTCTACTATTGGGAGGGAGATTTGCTACTTTGA